TATCAACAATCATTTTATAAGACAGAGAAAGTTAGAATGCTTGATTTTGAAAACAGAGGAATCGTAACGTGTAGGGATATGAATATAGTTTGATAAGTCGAAGAAATTGTTGTTAAGTTATTTGAAGGAAAAATGATGTATGTAAGTGAGGTATGGAGGGTTTGTACCTAGACGAAAAGAATATTATTGATGTTAAAAATTGTTCTTTTCAAGAAGTGATGAATTGTATTAAAGATCTAGAGAGATCTCAGAAGAATTAAGAGAATTCGTATCTCATAAAAATCGACATTATCGAAGAGAGACATAGATTATGATTGTCAATTACAGACTCGATTTGAATTAGTTGTATTCCATAGCAAATGATCAAAACTTGATGAAAGACAGATACACTTGAATAGTAGAGTCTGGTACAGGAAGATTAAATAAGGAGTTAAGAATGAATATGAAGTTAAGTTAGAAGGGAAAGTATGGATTTGATTAAAAGTTATGCTAGAAAATAGGTAAAGCAAAATTATTTTAAAAGGATCAAGTGATATAGGTACTATTTTGTAAGGGTTTAAGAATAGGTGCATTGATGATTGATTTATAAGATAAAGGAAATTGTAATGCCTGAGTTTGAACCCATGAAAATTGCATTGTGAATGAGTAAGAATGTGAGTTAAATGAGTCAAATAAATTAATGTTGAGTTAGTTTCGACTTGAAAGAGTAAATGATTAATATGTTTGAAGAAAGTCAAGTATATGTGTATTATGATTTGAATAAGGACTTTACGAAGAATAATGTATGCGCAGGAGTGTTGATTATCAAAGTGATGAAGAGATGATAAAGATTAGTAATCCGAGATGAGCACAAGTGAGAGGAAAAGAGTATGTGAGCATGAAAGAAAATATATGATTTATGTGTAAGGAGATTTTGACTTTGAATAAATAAAGGTTATGTTTCTTGGTCAAGCAGATTTAGTCAGAGGAATAAAGAATAATTTATATGTATTAAGGAAGTTTAAGAAGTAATTAAGCGATGATGGAATAAAGGTTGGTTATTACTGCAAGGTAATTAAAGATTGATAAGGAATTTGATTGATTAATGATTTTGAGTGATAAGAACTGATGCTATTGGTTATATGATAAGTGACATGATAAGGATGTATAAAGAAAAAAAAGGGTAGTTGAAGAACTAAGGGAAATAAAGATTAAGTAAAGGAAACAATATGAGAACATTAACAGACATGTTCTTATCAATGTTTGCAGTGAAAATTCGAGGACGAATTTTCTTTAAAGGAGGGGAGATTTGTAACATCCCAAATTATGGGTTAGTGACTAAATTGTAAAATTTTAGAATTTGGTGATTAAAGTGGAAAAGTTGAAAAGTTCAATGATTTATGTGGAGATAATCCCTGGAAGTTTTTAGTAATTATCCAAAGTAGTAAAGGGCAAAATGGTTATTTGACAATAAAGATATTTTTTATCCCCTTTAATAGGAGATTGAAACGTGGAAGATGAAAACATTTCATCTCTTCTTTTTTTCTTCTTTCTCCTCCCGTAAGAGCTCAAGGGCAAAGGTAAGTTTCTTCATTAGTTGATTATTTGTTCAACTAAAGGTTGGGTTTTGATCATTGGATGGTAATTAAGCTTAAGGAAAGCTTAATTGGTTCTAAAATAACAAGATGAAAGGTATATGAGAGATTAAAGATTTTGAGTTTTTGAATGAAATCTTGAAATAAAGTTGATACGTTGAATTTTAAGTTGAATTTGACTTGTCAATAGTTGAATTAAGAGATTTAAAGTGATAGAAAGGAATTTAGAACTTGTTGAAAATTGAGTATAATTCTTGAATTTCATTAAGAGGAGAGGATTTTGAGAATTAAGATGGATTAAATGAGTACAAATGGGCTTAAGTATGCGTGTTTGAGTTTAGTATATAGAAGAGGTTGAAATATGAAGTGTTTAAGATGAAATGAAGTAAATTTCGTGCTGAAAATATGATTTATGGACAAGGGGAATCGGTACCCATTCAAGGGAATCGATACCCATTCAATGGGGAATCGATACCCCTCAAGCGAACCAGAAATTCCAGAATCTCATAGGGGAACCGATTCCCCCACAGGAGGGAATCGATTCCCCCTAAAGAAAAAATGTGAATATTGGTTTAATAAGTTCGTTTAAGTTGCTAGTATCCAATTACAAGGTGTAGGTATCTAATGATTGCCTCAAAATGTACATTTATGTAGATTCTGCGCGTAAAGCAATTCCGGAACATTTGGCAAGTAAGATCGATCAAGGGAAAGATAAGAGATTGAAATTGACTAGTGAGGCCAAGGTGAGTGCATACTAGTGATATGTAGTGTTTAATGGAAATAAGACTTGCGATGAGTCTATTTCCTAGAGTAATATGCATGAAGTCATGGACATGATTATGTGTTGTTATAATTATATGTGATTATCTGTATTACATTGATTGTATGTATGCATGACTAAAGATAATGATATGCTTTGTATATGCTATATGATTTATGTAAAACTTTATTATGTAATAATGGAAAAACATGGAATAAGTTATATGATAGAGTCATAAGAAATGAAATGAACACGAGAGAATAAGATAATCAAGTATAAGTCATATGATATGGTATAAGTGGTTATACGAGAAATGTTAGGAGACTCTAAGAGAATAATATAAATTCGAGGGCATAAATAAAGATACATAAGTTATATAGGGAAGATTGATAAATTAAAGGAAACTATGGTTTATGTATTAAAGTGAACAGCTACAAAGTTTTATTAAAGAGTATTATGGAAGTCATGAGAAATTGAACTAAATAAATAGATGGTTTATGTGAGTGGAAAAGAAAAATGATATAAAATAAGTGGAAATTATTTATAAGATAGAATGAGACTAATTGAACCTGTAATATAAACTTTATAAATGAGTACTTGGGTAAAATCATTATATGATACAATTATAGAGTATTACTATACAAATTATATTAAAATATATGATATATGAAATATTATATGACTATGCGATTATATAGAAATGTTCTACGCGTAAGTGAACCATGTGTTTATATGTATATGGGATATGTGATTTATATGACGATGAGCTATGTGAAAGAACTACATGACTATATGTATATGTGAATGTATGTTAACATAAATATTAATGCCCATGTTATGTGTCATGAGAGCTAGGGGTATAGTTGGCATGCCAAGAGTCGATGGTCTATATGGTCCTTCGGGACATATATGTATTCTTTGGAACATGTGTGAAGTCTGGTGAGACAGATACTTGATCCTTGGCATATGTATATGATTCTTAAGGAATGATATTTGGTCATTCGGGACATATATGTATTCTTTGGAACATGTGTGAAGTCTGGTGAGACACATACTTGATCCCTAGTATATGTATATGATTCTTAAGGAATGATATGTGGTCCTTATGGATATTATTATATGGCACTACGGTGCAATTCTACGCGGCACTCCGGTGCAATTCTACGTGGCACTTCGGTGCAATTATACGAGCTGTGGTGATAGTATAGTGCACAACCTCTATAGACTCACATATCTATAGTTCTCACATGTGTACATGGGCTTTGAAAAGAGAACATAATTTGATATAATGATATGTGTATTTCTCATGACATGGTAGAAGTGCATATATGTCATGGTGATATAAGATGCTATGCGTTTATGTATTATATGATTATAGAAATTAGTAATGTATTGTGGCATATTAAAATATATATAATATGTTTATATTCATTATATGCTCATATGACGGAATTGAAGTAATGACAAGGGAATTAGTAAGGATAAACAGTGAGAACAATGTATGTGATATATGTATATGATGTGTGATATGAATTGCATGATATGATATATGTGTGATAGGGGTTATGGTATCTGTTACATAATATACATGAATATATGTTGATGTATATGTAAATGAGTTGTATAATTTGATAGCATAAAACATTCATGCATGATTAGTGGGTATGAATTTCATTAGATGTGTTTTTCTTTATGCCTCACTAAGTCATCGACTTAGCGTGTGAGTGTTTCACACGCAGGTTACAGAAAGTGAATATAGAAGCTGTGAGGAGCAATACAGGTCAGCATCTCCCTTACAAGATTTCAGATCAGAAAATAGATGAGTTAAATGATTTTTGTTATTTTGAATATAGTTGGCATGTACTAATTGATTGAGTTAAATATGCTCTTATCGATTTTAGTTATTGTGGTCAAATTATGTAACTAAACTGCTTTTACTTTAATGAAAGCTTTAAATTTTCTTTGAATTTGGTCAAGAGTCAAAATTTGAAAAGTCAATGTGACACCTCAGACTTGTATCCGGGTCGGGTACGGGTTAGGGGTGTTATATTACCTCTTCCCTTGCCAGCCATAGTTGTTGCCTCCGATGCTGCCTTTGTCACCCATACCATCGTGGTTACCGTCAGAGTCATTAGGACGCCTCAATTGGGGGTTCGTTGGGTTTGATTCGTCGATTGGGGATTCATTGTGGTTGAATCATCGATGGAGGTTCTATAGGCTGAAGGTTTGACCGACATCAATGACAACAAAGGCCGGCAACCAACGTGAATATAAGGATTGAAATTAGATTTCTAAAAGTTTTGGGTTTTCTTTTAATATTTCTGAAAATTTTGGAGTTTTTAATAAAAAATATTTTGAATTTTTTTATTTTTAAAAAAATTCAAATTATCTAAACTCAATATATATCACTTAACGAAATTTTTTAACGATCATTATGGTCGAGACACTTAAAATATTAATATTTATAACGTTAGACACCTGAATTAACCGAAAAAAATTTAGACATCATTTAAAAAGTAATAAAGTTTAAATACTTATTTTTCTATTAAGTCTAAAATAAACCATATTAGAATAATAATAGATATTTAAATCCACATTTATTAAATAAAATAAAATTATATATATATACCGCAGATATTGGAACGTGAACCATTCGCTGTCGCACTAAAGCAGTCAGCCCCAAGTGAAAATCGATCATTTTTGAATTGATTTGATTTGGTGAGTCGAAGGGCCGGGTGAGAATGAGTTGGATTGCGAGTCCTAAGAGAAAGCGGTTCGACGTGTTTGATTTCGCCGACGACGACGAGAGAGTTGAGAGGGAATCCGCGGAGATTGCTGGAAGGTTTAAGAACCCTAAAAGATGCCGCAAGGCTTCTTCTCCTATACACAAATACACGTTTCTTCAATTGTGTAAATTTCTTCCTTCACCTCTCGTTTTCTATCTCTTGACTCGAGAATCCCCTCTGTGATTACTCTGTTTGGTGCCCAAGAAAGTGCGGGAAAATGTCATAATTTGGATTTTGATATTGATATATATCTAACGTCCCTAAAAGTTTTAGAAGAAAGTGAATCCTTCTTATTTTGCCTGAATTTTGTTAAATATGACTCTGTTTGATGAAAATACATGTGGAAAAAGATGGTGGCTTAAAAAGGACAAACAGTCAAAACGCACCATAACGTAATGCATTTATTTCGTCTTATACGACCATGGATTGATTCATTCCATTTACTTTGGTGCCCTGCTAACTTATTTGTTAAAATACCCTTAACTTACGTATCTATGTAGTATTTATATAATTAAGTATATATTTACCTGATTACATTTTCTTTTCTTCTGTAGTTGCAGGGGCAAATGAAATTAGTAAAAGTCCAATTGATCTTGAAGGCGAAGGTATGGAGTTGGTTTAGGCATACTTTTATACATGCTTTATTGTGTAAATATTATATAGCTGTTCAATTGTTTTCTGTCTTCTTGTTCACTGGTTTCAGATTGCCACAGGACTAAGCAAACCGAAAGTAGCAGCAATCAACCAATTGAACTAGATTCTGAAGTTACAAAACCTCCATGTGGGTTGATATTGCTATTTTTTAATTTCCTTTTCTTCATGAGTTATAACTTTGCATAATACTTTTGAATGATATCCGATCTTGAGTTGTTTCCTGGTATTATGTTTCCTATGTGCGGCACAACATAATTCTGGAATTCCTTTTTGCTTGTTTTGTGGCTTAGAATTATCGTCTTGACACTTCTTTCCATGGTTCATTATATGAGACTTAATGCTGATCTTCACCTCCTTAAATTCAAATATTGTTTCCCTGTAATTATTTGACATCTGACTGAGTTCTGTGTGGCTGTAACCTTTTTTTTATTTGTAATTTACCAATGGCAGCTTTCATTTTTATTGACGCTTTTATTGCATTTGTGTTGGGTTCTTTTTCCCTGTTATTCCACCTTTTCCCTGGTTGGAGTCAGGGAAAATTAATTCAGGGTTGGAGGGGACAATTTGTACCTTCAAAGGAGAGGCAAGTTTGGCCTTCTTTTGATGCTGTTATTCCATAGCTGTTCAATGATGAATGATACAGCAATGTGCATGTGTGTTACAGTGACATATCTACTGTAATTGATTTAGCTTGTTGTTAGTTATTCTACTTGATAGCTTTATCACTTCCGGCTCATATTGATGCTGTTAAGGAACAGGTGAAGAATGAATAAAAATGTTAGTTCTAATATTTGAGTAAGATATGATGATTAAAAGATGTGTGCATGAGAAAAGAAGAGTTTTTAGTTATTATATTGAATTACTCATGCAATAATATTATGTAACATCTATGCTTTCATGTTTACTTATAGTTTTACAAAGTCGCAAGGCTTCAGAAAGTGAAAAGATTGATGGACCAATTGATGTTGATGGTAAAGATATACGGCATCATGTGTACATCTTCACTATCAATGTGCAGTTTCTAATGTCCATCATGTAACTTTGTAGAAGGGCAAGTCACCAAGACTACACCAAAAACCCGTAGATATGAAGTTGAAGATGTTAATGCTAGTGTTACAGGTCCGCAATGCACACCTGCAATCTGTCCTGTAAACATGAGAGAAGAGATTTATATCTCGGGTAACTCTTTGCGGTCTTTTTCTTCAAACTATGAGGTATATTGGCACCTTTCCTTCATTATTTTGAGCAAAATAAAAAATCATTTGAATAACTAGCTTCAGACTGCATCAAAGATTGTACTTCCAATCTAGCTTATTCTCTATGTGATGATATTTGAGGTTTCTCAGAATAAATGCTTGCAAGAAACTGTATATCGGTAACATTCCACTTGTCAATTAAAATGGCTGCAGAATGAGCGAGTTAGTATGCGTTCAAATGATAATGGTTTGATTCAATTGAGTTCTCCATCAGCTTCTGCCTCTTCTTATGTAGAGTTTGGAGGTATTTTCCTTTTCCTTTTATACTTTGATTCATAAGTTATGATACCTTCTTTCTTCAAGCGTCATGCATTGACTTGTAATCTTTTATAACATTCTGCTTTTCTCAGGTTCTCCAGAGGAGCAACTTCCAGTTAATGATTCTGATGCACACGAAATTGTAAGTATAGTACTCTAATTTGTAATATTGACTATGAAATTTAGGGCTTGATGGCTGTTTAGAGGGTTTGTTATTTAAATACTAACAACCTATTGATTAATATGTGGACATATGGAGTTAAATTCTTCATTAATATGACTTATTTTCTGCTTGTTATGGTGTGGGTTAAGATTTTATTAGTTTACATCTGTTTATAGAAATAATTTGTTGATTTATTTCCATATTGTCTCCATAACTATTTTTTGTTTCATATTGTGAAACTAGAATGGCAGAATCAACTGTTTTCAAATTTGTGTTAATTGGTATTCCACATTTTGTTAATATTTTTTTGCTAGTAAGTTGCGTTTCATCTTGATTTTTTTTTAATTATTTATAACTTGCAGGAAAAGGAAGATGTGGAAATTACTATTTCCCCTGATTTCATAATGTATAGAGGCATGTATTGCACAGAGGGCCAATTAACTTTTTCAAAAACCTTCCTCAAATTTGAGGGCTTTAGTGTAAATGGGATCAAGGAGAAGATTAGTTTTGTTTGGGCTGTTGGTGATATCATCAGTATTGATGCAGAATGGTGTCAAGAGGTGAGTTACAGGCTTACAGCAGCTGTTCACTCTTATCTTTTTCTTCAAAGTTTTGCCAAGATACTCTGAGAAGATAATCTTTGAGCTTTTACTATGCTGCTGGACACAGGTTGAAACAGCCATTATGAATTTTGTTCTACAATCAAAGAGTTCTAAGAGAGTTGGAAATGCAAATGAAATTTCAGGTTTGTTAATTTTCACAAATATTGTGTATTGAACTTTTTTTTGGTATAGCATGATATTTCATGTTCCGAGGGAAATTATCTGAACTCCAGTTAAAATTAATGTCCAATCTGACCTCTTTTGGAATATCACCCATCTTAGCTGTAGCACTAGCCTTACATCATAACCTCGTCTGTACTATTTTTGACGAGCCATTTTTAAGAAATTGTTTTCAACCATCTTTTTCTAATAGGAGTTGTTTTGGATGTAGCTGTGATATCATTTAGGGGTTATTTTTTCTCATCAATACATTTTGAACTGGATTCTTGATTGCTGCAGTCATTGAGTCGTTGAAGTTTTCAGTTTATGATCCTTGTTGGTCTGAAAGGCAGGAAGCAATCAAATCATCGAGCGTGAGATACAGGGATTTATGGAAAACCCTTTCTGAGTAAGTTTTCAACTGACTTGGTTTCTTATCAAGTTGTTACTTTTTTTTTCAATGTAGATCTAGAGAGTGATGGTTTGTTTCTTGAATTAGAATATATATGCATTTGATTTTGTCCAGCCACGTAGGTATTCTTTTCTCTTTCCCCGTCCAGAGAAATGGTGTTTTAGCATATATCATTTAGTTTGACTGAGTATTCTCTGGCTTTCACTATGTTTTAGTCCCTTTCTTCTAGCTTAACTTGCTGTTTATGTGAATGGAATTCTCTTTTGTTTGTATATGTGCGTGGTTTAATTTCATAGATTTAACCAGTCATGCTACAAATTACAGCAAAAATGAAGAGAATGCCTTCATGAGACAGAATGACAGGTTTTCTCCAAAGTCATATTTTTCTGAGTAAGTTAAAAACTATGTTTTTTCAATTACCAGTAGAAACAGAACCACTGATGCTAATTGGTTTCTGAATGCATTTTAATGGATTATTCGATGATTAATGATGCTCTATATCTTTCCCTTTTTGAGGTACAAGCTCTATATTATGCATTTTATTTGGTTATCTTCAATTTGTTCTGCAGGCTTCATGAACATTTTGAAGAAGTTATCTATCCGAAAGGCGATCCTGATGCTATTTCAATTAGCAAGAGAGATGTCGAACTTCTTTCTCCAGAGACATTTATCAATGATACTATCATTGACTTCTATATTATGTAAGCGTGAAATGTACTCTATGTTCTTGGTTTTCGTTTTCGTGTTCTGAATGTTAACCTATTCTATATCTTGAATGTGCTTGTCTTCAACCTTGAGGATTCATAGATAAGATATATGTGCAGTATAGTTATGGCTTTGGAAGCATTTCTTGTCTTTATCATCATGTCTTCTTGATTCAGCCTAAGTACTTATTCTGCATTTATGGAGTACCAACTTTTTTCTGTTTTATTTAAAAAAGTAACACTTTTTTCTAACGGTGCCCACAAAGCCACAGTTGTAATGGCAAAGGTGGTTGTATGCTGGCACCTTGGGTAGGGTTCAAAGTTCAAACCCTGGCAACTCCCCCCCAAAAAAAAAATAAATAAATAAATTGATTGTAGTGATCAATATAATTTCATACTGCGATCTGGGCTTATACAATCGGCAACTCAGATGATCACCTCGAGATCCACAGCTAAGTCCCTAAATTAAAATCATAATCATGATAGATGTCTAAGTGGCTTGTGGGAGTTAATGAGAAACCTTCCGTATGTTTAGTTTATGATCCCATGTTGTTGTGTTATTTTCTGCATTTGTTCCATTTCCTGACTTGAAAGTACTGATGTTTTGTTCTGATCCATTTAACAGATATTTGAAGAACAAAATTCCACCGGAGGAGCAACATAGGTTCCACTTTTTCAATAGTTTTTTCTTTTGCAAGCTTGCTGATCTGGATAAAGGTTTATCTGATGATTGTCAAGCCAGGTCAGCATATCATCGTGTTCATAAATGGACGAGGAAGGTGGATATCTTTGGAAAGGATTACATTTTCATTCCTGTAAACTACAGGTAATAAACTCTGTTTTTGACCATGGCGTGAGAGAAAAATCTTTTACTAGCTCTATAATATGAGTTATTATCACATCTCTATGACAGCCTGCATTGGAGTTTGATTGTCATTTGTCATCCTGGTGAAGTGGCTAAACTCAAAGGCAAGATTGTAATGCAGTGTCTCAGCATGTCATAGCAACTAGGATTGTCTCCACTTTTACCTTTTTCAGCTGTCTTGCAGATGATGTAACTGAAAATTTGCTTAAAGTTCCTTGCATTTTGCACATGGATTCAATTAGAGGAAGCCATAGGGGCCTTAAAAACCTTTTCCAGAGGTAATTTCTTCATGATTGTTTTCATAAGTAGTTACGATGCTTTTGTTCTGTTAGTACTTAGGACAGAAAAACAAAAAATGACCCAATGTTGACACGTTTCACTGTTTTATTCAATTCAATTAGCACGATCTGTGGAAATGATAGAAAGTGGGTAACTTATAAATTGTTGAACAAAATATCTGGCCTTAGGTTATTTTAAGGAGGTGTGTATCACACAAATTGTCTGCCCTGTTTGAAATAATCATACTCTGTTTTAAAATATTTTGGTATTGATTATTATTTTCCCGTTTCATTTGTGAAATGCCAGTTACTTATCTGAAGAGTGGAAACAGAGGCATAACGGCGCAGCAGCAGATGATGTTCTTTCAAAATTTTTAAATTTACAGTTGGTCCCACTAGAGGTATTGCTCTTTCAATCTTTTTGATCAAGTTCCTCAATTCCAAAAAAAAAGCCATGTGTTTAAACTTGCTGATTCATCAACTGAAAGTTGTTTTGGGGTGACTTTTTAAATCTCTGTTAGAACTTGGTTTTATTTGGAAATCGAGCATGAGTAAAATCATAGAAATAACTGTACTTTCCCATAGTGTTGTTTCTGCTGTAATCTTAGTTAGCATGTCATGTCACCTGCTTTTATTAGAAGGTATCCAAGCTCGTGTTGCAAAACTAATTGACTGTATGTATGTATTTATATTTCCCCCCTCTATGATTAAGCTACCACAACAGGAAAATTCATTTGACTGTGGCCTCTTCTTACTGCATTACGTGGAACTCTTTCTTCTTCAAGCACCAACCAACTTCTCCACTTATAAGATAACAGAATCCTCCAACTTTGTAAGTACTGCGATCGCTTTCTTCAATATTTGAAACTTGCATAATGTTATTCCTTTTTGCAAAAAGCATGTCATTGTTTACGTCTTTGCCGTTTTACCCGTCATTACTGCTTGATTGTCTCTGCTTGCTTCCAATCTAGTCTTTCTATTGCAAATAACATAGCATTGTTGCTATCCTATCTTACTTGTACATCACCTTTCTATCATAGAAAACTCCAATCCGCCCCTCCCCTTACCTCCCCACCAAAAAAAAAAGAAAAAGAAAAAAAAAGAAAATGTTACTCTTTTCAATTCGAAAAATGTGGACAGGATTTCATATTCAACTTTTCTAATATTATCTTTGACTTTTTCAGCTTAATGCGAATTGGTTTCCACCTGCTGTGGCTTCTTTGAAACGTGGTCGTATCAAGAAGCTAATCTATGAAATCCTGGAGGAGCAATCCTGTTGTCCACCGTCAGCTGATAGCATCTATAAATACTCATCCTCCCTTTTACCCTTCCACAGTGAGCAAGAACCAGGAGTACAAGCTATCGACCAGATTGGCAATTCAGCTGAAACATGTCATAATCATTCTGATGTAAACGATTTTGCACTCTCTGATGCATCCCCTACTTCAAGTCTACAAGGCCGGAAAGACTCGGGGGAGATTTCTGATTGTTACGAGGTGGGAATTTGTAGGAGATTTAATACACATGGTCAAAGAAATGCCATGTCACCAATAGAGGTAACATTTTGTTTCTTTATTACCATTAAGCTTACAGCATGATATAAGATCAATTTGCTAATGAAAATAGATGACTTGTGAATTCTCTCTGTTCTATCAAAGGAAAAGGACTGTTGCCAACGAGATTGAGCATGCTCACACTAATCCAATATCCATCAAGTTGTTGGTCATTCTTGTGTTTTCATCTTTCCGGACACATAATTGACTTTTAGGGGGTTACCATATTGATTAACCCTTGGTTTGTGACTGACTGAAACGAGTCGAATATTATGTTTCTTCTCATATTTATGGATTCATCAAGTTCTATCAAGTCCTGCATCTCCTTTTGCTGCTTATTATGAGGCCGCCTTCATTGGAATAGAGTTGATTTCCCGAGTCTTTTCTTCTATACTGGCAGTTTTAAATTTTGCCAACACTTCTCTGTGAGCAAAAGAGACCGGTTGTGATTGAGGGAAGTTGAATTCTGTTTGGCCCGTACTAGTACTAGGAAAAATAGTAAAACTTTTTCTTTTTATGGAGAATTTTGGCTTGAAATAGTTGCACTTTATTTCTGCTTGAAACAGGAAATAGAAGAGAGAAGTGAAGAAATTGCTGCTGATTCTCCCATAGATCTAGAGGGTGACCTAGCTACTGGATCAGCAACTGAACCTCGCTTATTCAGACGGTATCCTAGCAACGATGTTAGTGTATTAAGAACATCATGGAACCAACATTCGTCGTTACTTGTCGAAGATTCAGCTTTTAACAACTCGAGTAATTCTCTGCATTCATCAGAGAACTTGATGGATCTTGAGGTATCCTCCACCCTTGGAGGGGAAACTGTTGCAACTATATCGTCCGAGTACTCGGATGCAGATTACTCTGATTGTATTGTTGAAGATTCTCAAGACTCTAGTGGCATCATAATACATGATGACATTTAGAGTACATGTTCCATTTGTACTCGAAAAAGCACATTTCCACTCTATCCCATTAACAAGCAGATCTGACCGTCAAATCCAGTTCCAATGGTCGACAGAGGAGATCATATGTCCGAACGTGATGAGCAGCCAATCACAAATGTTCCGAAGGCATGTACGACTTCTTGGTGCAGAAAAGCATGAAGCCTTTCGAAATAGTTTCATTTCTGATCCCATCAACAAGCAGATTCGAGTACCGTATTCTGTCTGAAACTTCCCGACAGAAGTTTTGATGTTAATGACCGTGTATGCAAAGGTGATAAACAGTCACTTACAAAGTTTATAGGTACTGGCATCATGTAAAAAAATGTTTCTTTTGAGCTATTTTAGCGTATAGATTACTTATCTGTCTTGTAAAATTCAGATTTTCTTTGAAAGGAAAAAACATCATCCGTTCCACTGCTCTCTGTAGTACATACTTTTTCCCTTAGATGAACTTTAGCGACAAAAGTTCCATACTACCCAATACCCATGACACCCATTGATATTTACGATGTCTTTATTAGAGTTAATCTATTTGTTTATATTATATTTAATGGTAAATTACACAAATGGTCTCTGATTATTAGGGATGAACATTCGATCGAGTCGAGTAATTTTTTTTGAGTTATTCGAGTTGACGAGTCTTATTTTATAAATTAAACTTGATTTGAAAAATTTTTCGAGTTGAGTCGAGTTTTGCTCACTTATACCGACTATAAGACGTTTTATTAAGTCTCCCAATTATTAAAAGTTATTAAATGGTTTTTCGAATATAGAGTGTTGTTTTGTTGAGTTCTTTGACTATTGAAAGCTATAAAATGATTATCTGACAATTTATATGTTTTAAATTTTTCATTTTTCATTAAAAATTGGCGATCATTTGAGATGAACGTTAATATGTTAATTGAGATATGATAAAATATGATTTGAGAATCGTTTTAACTGTATTTTGTGGATTAAATCTTTGTTTATTTTATGACGTCGAGTCTATGCTCGAAACATTATACTGACAAGTAAGTGTTTGAAAACAACGACGATGTCAATATAAATTATTAAAATATGATTTTATCATATTTTAGTCAGTATGTTAATGTCCAATTTAGACGTTCATTAATTTTTTAAAAAGAAAAATGATGATTTTAGAATATATGAATAATCAGATGGTCATTTTGTAACTTGTAATAGTCGAAGACTCAACAAAACAACGTCTTATAGTCGGGATAAATAAAAGTTTGAATGAATCTGTTATATCAAATATCAATTAGTTAAAAATACTAAATTATTCTTATTTATGAATGTGTTAATATATATTATTTTAAAAGTGTTTTGTATTTTTATTTGTATAATCGTTTATTTATATAGTTAGGTAATTAAATAAATTATGTCATTACTTAAGGTTACACATAGTATTAAATGGTTTGCATTATAGTTCAAATCTGTTTATATTAAATCAAAAGGGTAGGAGATTAAATTCTTGAACTATAATACAAGGACTAGATTTAAAATTTGCAAAGAAAATAGGGACTGAAAGTAGAGTTAAACCCAAATAAAATATTAAATATAGGTGTTTTAATGGATACGGATGGAGTCAAGTGTCAAGTATTTATTATAAAATATTTATTTATTCCAAAGCAACTGAAGCCTGGAAACAGCAAAATAAAAAACATAGCTTTATCTGAGCTCCGAATTGCCTACCACACATTCCACAAAGATTTGTCTTTTTGATTTCGTAGCAGAGAACAATAACACCAAGAGAGGTCACCATTGTCAGCTTACAGTTTCTTTCTCTCTTTTCAATGGCTTCAATTCAATCTCCAACGCCTCCCAATATCACTTTCTCGACCCACCATTTACCTTCCTTCAAAACACCCTTCTTTTACCCTCCTTCCACCTCCAGGAGGTTCCCCCATTCGACCCTTTGCCGCTGCTCAAACGGAGATTCAGATAGAAATTCCGTTAATTGGCGATGGGACTCTGCTTTTCAAGACGTTTTCCAGAATGCCGTCAAGCGATTATATTCCTACATGAACCCTTTCTGGAAAAAACCCGACGCCGCCGGAGATGCGGTGAACGACGCCTGTCAGGGGAAACAGGAAGAGGACGATCGTGATTGGGATTTGGATCGGTGGAAAATGCATTTCGAACAAGTCGATGAACAGGAACGTCTCGTCTCCCTTTTAAAGGTATTTCACGAATTTATGCCATTTTTTTTATTGGGTTGACTTCAATTTAAAGTTTTGATGGCGTTTTCTCTTTGAACAGACGCAATTAAATGAAGCTGTGCGTAGAGAAGATTATGAGGATGCTGCTAGGTTAAAGGTTGCAATTGCAGCTGCATCTAGGAATGATACTGTTGGCAGAGTCATATCACATTTAAATGTACAAATTCGATTTCTTTTCATTTTATTAATCCTTTTTTTTAAAAAAAAGGTGTTCTCCCCCGTTTTTCTTTCTGACCTGTTTTCTTGCGACTTCAGAGAGCAGTAATGGAAGAACGTTTCATGGATGCTGCGTTTTTAAGAGATAATGCCGGTGCTGGATTAGTATGTTAAACCTTTTTTTTTTGGAATGGAAAAAGTAGACAATTTTTTTAGTAGATAAGTATAAATTGTTTGGTTTTTATGATTTTGGGTTCCAGGTTGGATGGTGGGCTGGTCTTCCGAATGATGCCAAAGATCCTTATGGTCTAATTATACGAATAACTGCCGAACATGGTAGATATGTCGCCAGGAGTTTTAGTCCTAGGTAATCATTCCCCTGTTTTGGATGTATAATTGATCATTGGTATGCTGGTCTGCACATGTACTTGTGCTACTATTACAGTTAAGCTCATTTGTGGAGTATTTCTTGTTTACATTTTTTGCATTGGCTCCGGTTTTTTTGTACTTCTTGCTTGTACTTATTGGTTTGCAATTTTGACTGATTGTTTCCGACACTGTTTGTCTGAATCTCTTTTCTTTCAGGCAGCTCGCTACCGCCTGAGCTGGTATACCTTTTTTTGAGATCTTTCTTACTTTTAATAAGAAAGGTGAATACAAACTACAGGTATCTTTTGTTTCTGTTATTATTTTCCCATGTCTGCGTCGTTTCTGATGTTTGAATTGAAAATACTTTACGTGACAGCAAATTTATCTGATAAGTTGACAGAAAACCTGGGTGCTCTATAGTTGTTTGCATGGATCTGATGATTATAATTCATCTGGCATTTTTTGTCTTGGTGATCCTTTATTGAAGCTATTAAGTATCTAGCCTGATGAAAGTTTGTCATCAATTGAATTATCCAATGCTTAGTAGATTACTATGCGGGCCTAGTTCCGAGAGGCATTAGTTCAGTGAGCCATCGACATGCTTGTTTCTTGTAGCAAGCTTAAAAAGAATAAAGATGATTCTTTTCTTGGAAATGCATTTAATAATACCCTTGTGTGTTCCAAGCACCCTGCTCAGCATTTGTGATTTTTAATTTGCAGTAACGTTTAGGGTTCACGAATGTAATCTTATTTGATGTTTTTCAGGCCATGTACTTGAAAAGGAGGAGAGTTTTCCAAGATTCTTCAACGATGCCTCCAAAAGAATCTGGAGTCCCCAGCCGCTTGGCTCCATCAGACTCCACCGAAGACAAAACTGATCTTTTTGTTGTCAGTACTGAAGATGGTGTTGATGAAGAAGATGATAATGAAGATGATGAATCTGATGAGGGTGGGGGACTAACTGGTTTCCAAAATGTATTACGAGATATGATTCCTGGTGCAAAGGTCAAGGTTGTGAAAGTGACTGCACCTGGGAAAGTAGACCCAGATTTTATATCCAAGGTGATTGAGCAGATAATAGATGAAGAAAAAGATGCCGAGGTTGAAAGCATAGAAGTTGATGATGAAATTAAGAGTGATGGTGACCAAGACAGAGATCAAATTGAAATTAATGCCGATAGTGGAGTTATTGATAGTGACAGGCGAGGTGAAATTGCAGTTAAATTTGTTGTTGGTGGTCTTGTACAAAAACTTTCCAACACTGTTCCTGCAATAGAATCACTTAGAGTGCCCGCAAAACTAGTGAAAAGGGGGCGCCTAATGTTTTCATTTTCTATTGAAAAGGACAAAAACCAACAAGAAACCAGTCTCAAGACAAAGGGTGTGATGGATAGAAAAGCAAAGGTTCCAGGTCAACGCAGCACAGATGAAATAATGTTCGATCTTGCTAAATTTATTGGCAGGGAGAAGATACCTTTGAAGGTAGGTCCAATATATTATATAAATATCTGATGAAATCGTGTTCTACATACCATTTCCCCTTTAAGTTTCTTCCATTGAATGCTTGGTTGGCTAACTAATTTCAATCATGCAGGTGCTCAAAGATGTTGGTGAATTGATAAATGTTACTCTCAATCAAGCTCAAAATTGTCAACCACTATCTGGATCTACAACTTTCCATCGCATTGAGACTGCAGCATCACCGGATCCCCTAAATGGTAATTTGTAACACCATCTGTTGATGTTCGCTGATGCTTTTATGAAATGAACATTTATTCTCTCTGTGTGTGTGTGTGTGTGTTTGTGTTTTGTGTGTGTGTGTGTTTGTGTTTGTGTTTGTGTGTGTTTGTGTGTGTGTGTGTGTGTGTGTGTGTGTTTAGGCTACATTATGCAATTCTCTGCTCTGTATGTTTTATCATCATAGAATAAATGTATTTACAATATGCTTGTTTGATCAGGATTATATATCGGTACACATGGGCTTTACACTTCAGAAATCATTCATCTTAAGCGCAAATTTGGTCAGTGGAAAGGGGATAGTGGGACTAAGGAGCCTTCAAATCTTGAATTTTATGAATATGTGGAGGCAGTAAAATTAACTGGAGATCCTTATGTACAAGCAGGGCAGGTGATTCATTGTCTAATTTAACTTTCTCTTATAATCAGAAGCTCAGTCTGGAGCGATCAAAGATCATTTAGTTTTGCATTGCCAAATTATGTGTGCATGTGAATGCAGCTGAGTCATTATCGTCTTTAAAGTAGTTGTATTTCCCGACCTTCCCCGTGTATGTTTCTTGTGTGTATATGAATATCTTTGCAGTGCATCTATTTTTATTTGGTTTGTCTCCTAAAACCTTTGAATATCTGCAGGTGGCATTTCGAGCCAGAGTTGGTAAAAGATATCAGCTCCCACATAATGGGATAATTCCTGAAGAATTCGGAGTGGTACATTTTTTTAGTGTACACTAATAACTTGTAGAGTTTGAATTTGTGGTACCCTTTGAAGTTTTCTCTTTGATACCTGCTTCAAATGTTGAGAAGGTTCCATGGTCTTATTTTCAACGCAGGTTGCTCGATATAAAGGACAGGGGCGGCTTGCTGAGCCAGGCTTTCGAAATCCTCGATGGGTTGATGGGGAGCTTG